TGTGAGATGAAAAACTACTAAAAAGATCACAAAGTCTCTAAAACGAATCAAAAAAAAAAAAAAAAAAACCAACAACAAAAAACCTTCCACACTTTTCTTTTTACCTTTAAAATTGCCTGATTATGATAACATAGATTTTGTGGTATGTGAGATGAAAAACTACTAAAAAGATCACAAAGTCAATGACTCAAATCAAATAAAGCATCTTCTTTGAGTTAAAAGAATGATTTCGATTTGGGGCTTAATAATTTTAAACACACAATGATGGTGATTTTTCCATTTAATTTTCAATTTAGTAAAAAAATTACTTATTTGGGTTGGGTTAGTGGTACATTTAATGCTAGAGTTACGATTTGGTATAGTTAAAATTCCAGTTTAGATGCAAATGCCTGATAACTGTTCCTGACTTTATTCCCATATGAATATTCAATTGGCCTAAATTAATTTTACTCACAGAGTCTTCTGACTTTGTGTCCTTTGACTCTTAAAAAATTTTCCCTTCCATGTTGAAAAGTGAAGGCAAAAGGAAAAGGAAGTTAAAATTATCCCAGCTTGTTTTCTAGGTGCTGTGGGCTATAAACTCAAATGGTACTTACCGTTTCGACTTTGGGTGGTGGAGGTCCCTCTTTCAACCATGTTGTGGCTGTCATGATCCCTGCTTCCACCTGGCCTTCTCTCTGCAACATTAGCAAGAAACAATGCAAATAACTATGCCAACTGGGGCAAAAATAACCAGGTAAACAGCAGCAGTGGCATGCTAAATCCTGTAGTTAGTGAGGAAATACTGAGTGCAGCCTGCCTTAGCATTCTTCATGTTATTTTTCAGTTTGCTAATTAAGGCACTCATATATATAGTTTATATAACGTTTGAAAATATTATTAATTCTTGTCTTTAAGTCTACTTTTTCAGACACAGAACACTGATAATATTTTCCAGCCAACTCCATAAAAGACACTAGTAGAATGAAAAATGTTATGTATTTTCCTAGCACGATATACATAACAACCATTCCTATCATAATTTAGTAAGGACATATTAGTAACATTTCAAACACCACAATGTTGAGTATGGGGAAGCCATTCTAGCCTACTTTGCTAGTGTATTAATTGTTCATATTCATTAATTTTTTTTTCTACTTTAGGCATAGTAGACATCAAAATGTAAAGGCCCATCCTAATATGAAACTAAAAACAATACCTTAATTATATAACAGGCTTGCTACATCTTTTAGGAAAGTAAATGCACTTTGAAACTTTTGGTGTATCATTTAGCAGAGGTATCTAATGGCTTAGATTCTAGAATATTAAATTCTTTAAAAGGCAATCAATTCTTTCTTTTTTGAAGGCTATATTTGTTGATGGACCAAGAGAAAATAATAATGCCATCATCGGAGTTATAAATATCCAACTTACAAATGCACAGACATACCAATGGCGTGGCATGTTTCCAACCACCCGGTATTCAAGGCAGCAAATGAAAATCTCCCCTACAAATCTATAGAGAATTATAAAGACTTTTACAACTGCCATGCCTTTATTCTCCATGCCTCTCCATAGTCCAGCTCTGTGAATAGTCCTTGCATTTGGCATATGCTCAATAAATATTGATATTTAAAAGATAGATATTGAAATGTATTCTCAGTATTTATCTTTAAAGGGAAACTATAATATAGATAACAGAAAGTCAATGTCAAATAAAACTAAATTTCCCAGGAGTCGTGAGATTGTTACATATTCAAATTTTTACATTTTAAAATACCTTAAAAGGGATTTTCTATAATCTTTTTAAAAATTAAAAATGAATCACATGAAGTAAAAACTTCTTTTATTTTGTGACAGATGCTTCTACTATACAGAGCATGCAATGACATTTTAAAACATCTTTTGGCAGGAATCTAATGAGGCCTGAATAATTTTAAGTTCTGTTTGGTGACAAATGAGCAATTTTAATTCAAAGTTTAATTTAACAATTGAGTACCAATTATATACCTAAAAAGATGTTACACATATTTTACTACATACAGAATGTAAGGATAGTCCTGTCATCAGTAAATACTCCTGAAGACAACCAAGTTACACTTAGGACAGCTAGTAAACAAAAAGACTCAGGAACTTGTCACTCTGATATGTACATAACAACTTGTTCAACAAGAAATAGGTAGCTATTCTGATAAAACAGAGAACTAAACTACATCATACATGTCCAAAAACAGGATAACTAATGTTTACATTTTTATAGACAATAGTTTTAAAGCAGAAATAGGAATATAGGCATGCCAGGCAGTACTCTGAAATGGAGATGGCATCTGGGCGGGGGACAAAGTTTTGGTAAGAGAAGAGAAATGAGAAGGAACAAGCCCATGAAAAAAACAGCATATTCAAAAAGAAGGAGGGAAAAAAAAAAGAAAAAGGAGAATTTTAAATAGATCACTTAATTCAAAATCAAATATAGTTACTATAAAAGAAAACCTCAGCAGTGCACATCAGACATCGTATAATAGTTTTACTATTCATAGGATACCTTCCTCTTCCCCATCCACCACTGGTCATTTTAAACTTCTTCTGAACTTACTTAGCTATGATTACTGACAACCATTGATCGACATGTGTATTATGTAAATGTTCTCTTCTACCTCCCATCATGACCTTAAAGCTCCTTGAACAGTCTTGATTGTACTCACTGAATAAATGAAGTACATTAAGGATTTACTAGAAAGTTCTAGAAGTCAAGGGAAATATCTTGAAACTACCCAAGACTTAGTTTCCTTATCTATGCCATGAGGAGGTGGAAAAGATGACATTCCAGGATTTTATGATACTCTTATTAATATCAATAGAAAATAGGTTAATACCCTTAGTATTCTGTTATATTAAAGAACTTAAGGATTTTTTAAGGTGATAAATATTTAGTTTGAAGAATAAGAAACATCTGAGGATAAACACAACGAGGAGAGCCTGAAATACTGGTGTGGAATTTTTATTGAGAACAGAAAATAAAAATCTCCATTAGACATGAGAGAATATTTCAGGGAGCATTTGGTGACTTTTAATACAAACATATTTTATAGTTTTGTTTATTTAGAAAAAAAAATCCTTTCTTAGTTCTTGACTTTAACAGCTGTTTTCAAAATAATAAACTTATGTTTGTCAGTCTGAAATGGCCTCAGAGTTCACATTATCTAATATATGTATTGTTGCTTGTGCATTATTTATAAGTATAAATGGAAGAATCTTAGATACAATAAATCATTTCCTATTTCTCTGAAAGGAGAAATTCTAAATATAAGCATTTTTGGTAAATAAAACAAAACATTTCTCTGAAAAGGCAACAGCAATTACATTTCACATTTCCTGAGGGAGTAAAATCAAATTCAAAAAATTATCTAAACAGTTGAAGGACAACGTCACACCTCTAGGATGTCTCTTGTAAGACAAGACCCTTGGGGTCTTAGTCTGAAGAGGTTGTGGATCCCAAAAAGCTCTCCTTGATGCTCTTTTGATCCTTGAACGGCTTCAAAATAGCGTTTGGCATTTTCACTTCCAACTACCACACAATGAAGTTGCTAAAACAGAAAACACACAAGATATTTTTGAAATGTTTGCTCCAACAATATGTCAGAATTTCCTGGCATTCCTTGTATATACACAGCTTTAGCTAGAGCAGGCAGAATCTCCTCAGGGAGGAAATTTTGTTTTAATTTCCCTGGCAGATGTTGCCATTATGGTGAAATACTAATAATCTGACCAGTCTTATTGAAGCAGAGCTCTTACATTTCCTATTTTATCTGTTTTCTGACAACTGAGTCATCTCTATGGAATAGCTACCTGACATAAATGTACAGTAATAAAAGTATATGTATGAATACGCTTTTATCCTTTTAAAACACTTATTACCATAGAAATTATTAAAACTGGCAGGAATAATCACTGTATCACTAAACTTAAATTATAATCTAAAGTAATTATATTGTAACCACCTTGGTGGCAAACTAATTATGGCATGATTAACACTGTTAACTAATAACAAAAACCCTATGGATATTTTAGAAACACCTGTCTTTGAAACAATTTTGAACATACAGAGACCACTGGCATGCAACCCTCAAGTTAATACACCATTTTTGGATCAACATTAATACGTACTGTCCATTTGCTGGATATTTTACTTAAAGGAATGCATGGTTGCTGGCAATCCATGGCATTCTTCAGCTTGCAGCTGTATCTCTCCAACCTCTGCCTCACATGGCATTCTCCCCTGTGTCTGTCTGCATACAAATTTCCCTCTTATAAGGACAGCAGTCATTGGATTACAGTCCACTCTAATCCAGTATGACCTCTTCTTTACCTTATCTGAAAAGACTATACTTAGAAAGAAGATCACATTCACCAGCACCAGGGCTTAGCATAGCACTTCAATGTATCTTTTAAGACAGGATCTAGCTCTGTTACCCGGGCTGGAGTGCAGTGCAATGCAGCCTCAAACTCCTGGGCTCAAGCAATCCTCTTGTCTCAGCCTTGCAGATCACTGAGATTACAGGCATAAGCTACCACGTAGGCATTTTCTTCCCTTATTTGGAGTTTTTTTTCCCTTCTCTTCCTTCTAGTCCTCTTTTCAACTGTAAGACTGATATTGGAACGTCTAGATCTCCTCATTTTCCTTACATATGTTCTGTCTGTTTGCTCTATAATCTAAAACAATTGCTTTGCTTTTGCTTTTAGACGAAAACTTTGCTCTTTGCTACTTAACCTATGGCTGGAGTTTTTCATTTTCTACATCTCTAAATGATTATTTTCTTAGTAGTCTATTTTATTTTGGGGATCCTACAACTTGATTTACCCTTTGATGATATTATTTGTATTTCTTTAAAATTTCTTATGCTCTTCTGTTTTTTTCTACATTCAGTCTTTTTTTGGGGGGGGTGCCTATATTAGTTTCCCAGGGCTTCTGTAACAAATTATCATAAATTTAATGGCATAAAACAACAGAAATGTATTCCCTCACTGAAATGAAATGAAATCAAGGTGCAGCCGGGCTGCTTCCTCTGGAGGGTATAGGGGAGAATCCTTCCCCTGCCTGGTCCTGCTTCTGGCAGCTGGCAGCATGCCCTGGCAGTGGCCACATCACTCTCTCCAATCCCTCTATGATCACAATGCCTTTTTCTATGTGTGTCAAAGTTTCCGCTGGCTCTTTCTTATAACGACACTTGTGGATAATTAAGGATAATCTCTGCTTCTCAAAATCCTTAAGTTAATCATGTCTCCAAGGATCATTTTTCTATATAAAGTACCATTTATAGGTTCCAGGGATTAGGACCTGATATTCTTAGGGCCATTATTCAGCCTACTATAATGCCTTTTTCATAGGGTTTATTTTCCTAAATGTTGAGCAATTATTTTTGGTTGTCTATTATCTGTCTTTAAATACTTTACAATTTACATGCATCTCTCAGCCTACTTCAGTGCTTATATGGAATGAAGGTGGGCTGCAAGTATTTAGCTTTCCGGGCAATGGGAGGGACTTTCTTCCAGATAGTGGCAAAAGTTTAGAGCTCTGTCTTGCTTCTCTGCTTCTGTTATTTCTACTTATTGTCCCCACTTGGGAATAGACACTTCTGTTGGCTGTAATATGCTATAACTAGGATAAGAGGATAAGAGTTAAACTTCCCTGTTACATAAATGATGCTCCAAAGAGGTAACCACAGTTACCCCCATGCTCCCTTCTTTTCTTAACACCTGCTGACCTTTTTCAGGAGTCTTCTTCTGACTGAGTTCAGCTTGGTTTCTTCCTTCAATCCGATCCTAACTGCCTTTTGTCTTTTAGGATTCCTTACAGTTTCTGGGATACCAAAAGAACTTTTATTGTTTTCCAACATTTGAATAGTTTTTTTAAAAAAAAATTATGTATGGATTTTCCCCTAAGTGTCTGAAGAACATTTGAGAGCCTACAATATGTGCTCCACATGCAACCTTGGTTCAAATTCTAAACTATCTTTAAACCATATTTAATGTCTTTTCCTTACATGATTGCCATCTTTGTGTCATACAAAGTTCTTAACTTAAATTTCCTCATTTTCTAAAGCCTTTTAATTATGTTATTATATAATATGTATTATTTCATTAAATAAGTCATAAACAGGTAAAAAAGGAAATGCATATAACAATAGGTTTAAAAAATTGAGTTACCATGACAAGTCTTAGAAAGTGTTCTAAAGAACAGCTCCTAAGATGAAAAGTAATACCCTTTTTCCAAGATTGATTAAATAAACAAGAATAAAATAATTTTGGAGTAGTTGTGCTATACCAAAGGGGGGGATGTACAGTTTCTCTTTGAGTTAAATGCTTTCAGAAAAAAAAAAATTGCTGTGCATAATTCTATATTTAGAATGAAGAAAATAGCATAAATTTAAGATTGGATCATTCTTAGGTTAACTTCCACCACATGTGGCATATGTTTGCTCTTAAATAGATGCCAACTGAATATAGGGAGCAATTCAAATTTAACATTTACAGTTAAACTTGAACCTTATTCCAGATCTTCTCAAGTGTGTACGGCTCTAGTATAGACTAAATAAATGCTGTTTATTTAGAGGCATAAATGGAGTGATAATTGATATCGCAAGCATAGTAAAGAGTTAATGCAACCAATTTTAGATAAAATACTAAAAGCACACTTGAGTTCTCTTCCTATAATTTCATTTACTGGGGCATAAGGTCCCAGTTTTCTATGCACAGTATCTCTGCGACAGTGCTTCCCAACCTTCTTCATTTCATGGTCACCTGTGAACAGCCACCTGGAGCAAACAGAGGCAGCTAGTTGAGGCTGGAAGCCGGCTTACGCACGCTTGCTGTCCAGAGAGTTGTGGGATCAATGTCTCGGGGTGTCTGTAACCCATCTGTGGCACACAGTCATGTTGTGGCCCACAGTTTGGGGAGCTGTGACCTTGCTAATCGAATTGTGGCCTTCAGACTAGGAGTACTGGCATTCCTGGGAGCTAGGTAAAAATGCTGAATCTTGGGTTCTGACCAGATCTACGAAATCAGAAGCTGTATTTTAACAAGATCCCTAGGTGATGCATATACACATGAAAGGATTTGAACTGCTGCTCTAAGAAACCTTCAGCTCAAAAATTCAATGCATCTAAGCACTAATGTGTTTCACAAAAATGTATTCAAAAGCATTTTTCATAATATTCAATTCAATTATATAAGAGAAAATGAAAAACTTTTATTTTTATACAAATTTGTTCCTAATTTTTGAAGAAACAAATGTTTAATTAGAAAACCATGAACACGTGTACCTGCTTGTACACCTGCCGTAAATACATGATTTCCTCCACAGTTCCCAAGGACACGAGCCGCAGGACTTTGACATCTCGGCATTGTCCAATCCTGTATGCTCTGTATAAAGATTAAAGCAAAAACAAACAAAAATCAAGCGAAACAACATTGGGTTCAAGAAGTAGCTTTTGTTTGAAATAACAGAACATTACAAAAATTTTAATTTTCAAAGAAACATTTTATGCTTAGATATGTTATATTAGTCAAAAATGTAAAAGTATAAATTTATATAAGACTTGTTATTGAGAAGAAAAGTATTATAGAAAAAAAACCTCTATACAACCACACAAGAGATTGCAACAAACTGGTCAACATACAGAGGTAGTCGACATAAGAACTAGGCCTACTGTGCTGATACGTACATGTGGTCCATGTCTAGTCTATGACAATTAGGTCAACTAGAGGAGGTGGTCAACGCAGGGAGGTGGTCAACTATGGAGGTTCTACTGTATATATATTTCATTTCTGTTACAAACATCACTTTCCTTTGCCTAAAAACTTTCCTTAAATTTAGGGTTGTTTTTTTTTTTTATGGCAGTCTTATATGAATAGATTATTTCCAAATAATTTCATTTAGGTAAAACTCCCCAAATGCAAACTAATCCAGAGTGACAGAAAGCAGATCAGTGGTTGCTTAGGGATGGGGGATGGGGAAGCAAGAATGGATTACAAAAGGCAGAAGGAAAATCTGGGGGTCATGGATATATTCATTATCTTAATTGTGGCAATGGTTTCACAGGTGCATATATATGCCAAAACTTATCAGTTGTGAACTTTAAATATATCCAGTTTGTTGTATGTCAATTATATCTTAATAAAACAGTTTAAAAAAAAAACCTTGGGGAAAAGCAATCAACTGGGAAGTGTATGCAAGTGTGGATTTACAGTCATCCACAGAGATTTCAGTTCAGTGGGCCTGACTGAATGACTCAGCAGACTAGTACCTGGAGTGTTTTGATGAGGGCTAGCGTGCAAACTACAGCTCTACCCAGACTTATCACAATGGTTTAACTAGGGGTCTGCTCCCTGCAGCCTCTCGCATGTGGAGGCTTTATTGGATGCTCTGAATGAGGACCGAATGCCTGTAATAGCTGCTGAGAGGAACACAAGCTGCAAAATATTACAACTTGGGGGAAATTTATTTTGAACTCGTAAGGTCACTGCATATGTTGTTACAATTGGTGTTCCCGCTCCTTCACAGAGATTTCATTGTAATTTATTTCTAACTAACCCGTTTTTATCTCTTGAAATTTAATGACTTTAACCATTTTTAAGTGTACAGTTCAGCAGCACTGAGTACACTCACACTGTTAGGCAACCATTGTAACTATACATTTACACAACTTTTTCATCTTTCTGTACTGTACCCATTAAACTGTAACTCACCATTCCCTGGTCCCCAGCTACTGGCGACCACCATTCTACTTTCTGTCTCTTTAAATTTGATGACTCTGGGCACAATGTGTTAGTGAAATCATGCAATCTTTGTCCCTTTCTGGCAAAAACTGGCATTATTCCTTGTTGCTGATATTTGAGGAAAAACATTCAGTCTCTCGCCATTGAGTATAACGGTAGCTATGGGTTTTTCATACATGGCCTTTATATTGAGGAAGTTCCCTTTTATTTTTAACTTGTCCAGTGTTTTTATCATAAGAGGGTGGAATTTTGTCAAATGCCTTTTCTGCATCAACTGAGATGATTATGTGTTTTATTCCTTCATTAGTTAATGGGATACATATCACATTGATTAATTTTTATAGATTGCTGAACTATCCTTATATTCCAAGAATAAATCCTACTTGATGTATCTTTCAATATGCTGCTACATTTTGTTTGCTAACATTTTATTGATTATTTTTGTGTTAATAATATTCACAGAGACATTGGTTGGTAGTTCTCTTATAGAGTCTTTGTCTGATTTTGATACTGGGATAATGCTGGCCTCATAGAATGAATTAAGAAGTGTTTCCTCCTCTTCAATTTTTTGGAAGAGCTTGAGAAGGATTGGTGTTAATGCTTTGAATGTTTGGTACAATTTACCAGTTTAGCCACCTGGTCCTGACTTTTTCTCTGCTGGGAGGTTTTGATTACTGATTCAATCTCCTTACATAACTATAGATAAATTTAGGTTTTCTATATCTTCATGATTCTGTCATGGTAGGTTGCATGTTTTTGGGAATTATACCATTGTACCTAGGCTATTCAATTTGTTGGTATATAATTATTCACAATATTCTGTTATAATCCTTTTTATTTTTGTAAAATTGGTTAATAACGTCCCCTCTTTCATTTCTAACTTCACTTACATGAATCTTCTCTCTTTTCTCTTAGCCTAGCCGAAGGTTTGTCAATTTTCTTGATCTTTGTAAAGAAGCAACTCTTGGTGTCACTGATTTCTTCTGTTGTTTTTCTGTTCTCTGTTTTACTTATCTCCATTCTAATATTTGTTATTTCCTTCCTTTAGCTAGCTTTGGATTTATTCTTTCTCTAATTCCGTAAAGTGGAAAGTTAGACTGTTGATTTGAGACCTTTCTTCTTTTTTAATGGAAGCATTTACAGCTATAAATTTCCCTTTCTGCCCTACTTTTACTGTATTCTGTAAGTTTTGGTATGTTGTATTTTAATTTGTCTCGAGATATTTTCAACTCCCTTTGTACATTCTTCTTTGATCCTTTAACTGTTCAAGAGCGTGTTGTTTAATTTTCACATTTGTGAATTTTTCAATTTTTCTTCTGTTGCTGATTTCTAGTTTCACTGTACTGTGACTGTGCTATAGGCTTACAAAATGTGCTTCTTAAGTAAGAAAGTCAGAAGTACTCCTGGACCCATGGGCTACAGAATGGATGCTCTATTAGCAGTCGACTCCATACTTCATGCCTCTCACAAAAGAAGGTGACTCCACTGCATGGCTGCTTCTACCATCCTTCAAAAAATTAAAATAAAATATTTTTTTCCTAAAAGTTTGGGCAAAATAATCAGGTGTGCTTATACATAGGAGCACATTATACACAGCAAAATAGATAACTGGCCTAATTTCAATATTGCTGTGTTTTAGGAAATAGGGTGGCCTGAGGGGAGGGAAAGAGATGGGTAAATGGCTAGTCAGTGGATTAATCAGACCACAAATAATATTTATTAAGTTTATAATATTGTGAAAATTATCAAAATGTGACACATAGACATGAAGTGAGAATATGCTGTTGGAAAAATGGGGCTGATAGACTTGCTTGACGCAGGGTTGCCACAAACTTTGAATTTGTAAAAAGTGCAGTATCAGCAAAACACAGAGTCTAGGAAGTGCAATAAGACAAGATAAGCCTGCGTAAAAACTTACTGAATATGAGTAAACAAATGCGTATTCAAATAATTTATATTCTTTGTTATTTTGCCTGGTTTATCTATTAATATTTTATTGTTATTTTTTATTTTTAGAGACAGGGTCTCACTACCTTGCCATGAGGGAGTGTAGTGGCTATTCACAGGTGCAATACCACTATTGATCAGCACAGAAGCTTTGACTTGCTCCGTTTCCAACCTGGGCTGGTTCACCCCTCCTTAGGCAACCTGGTGGCTACCTACTCCCGGAAGGTTACCATATTGATGACAAACTTAGTGTGGACACCCAATTGGTATAGCACACCACAGCCCAGAATTCCTGGACTTAAGCGATCCGCCCGTCTCAGCCTCCCCAGTAGCTGAGACTACAGGCATGCACCACCACGCCTGTGTATCTATTAATTTTTGACGGAGGAATATGAAGTTCTAATCATAATTGTGAATTGCCCATAACACTATAAGAGTTTTGGCTTTGTTATGTAGTGACTGTTACACCTTTCTGATAGACTGTGCCCTTCTTTGTTTTACTTAATGCTTTTTGCCTTAAATTTTATTAATATTTTCCTTTATGTTAATATTGCCACTCATTCTTAATTAGTTACTATCTCCCTTATTTATATTATTTTTGACCTTCTATGTCATATATATTATAGTAAGAACAAATCTGTACCTAACTTTTCCTTTTTGTTCCCTTCTTATTAAAGAGAGTTCTACACAAGTATAGCCTAGCAATGAGGAGGGGAGAGGAGGGAGAAAAGAGTGGGGAGGAGGAAGGGTGATTGGTGGGATCTCACCTAATGTGCACAATGTGAGGGTGTTCAGTAAGCCTCCTGGGTAAAGGGCTCAACTACAACTTGAACTTTACCTTACAAATGAAAACAATGTAACCTAAACATTGTACCTTCACATTAATCTGATTTTTTTTTTAAAGGAGACAGTTTTAGTATATTTATATTTAGATTTATTTCTGAAATTGCCTGTTTAGTATTTGTCATATTTTCTCTAATTTCTCCACCTGCTCCAACACACTCTGTAGTTATTGTTTGCTGAAATAATTACATTTTCTTGGTGCTCTTCTTATTTGTTTTGGAAGTTTAACATCTATAATAGTGTCCGGTGTTTTTCAAGGTGGAGTTGAGGACCAATTACATCACAATCACTTGGGCCATTTTTTTCTTGTGGCGAAACATATATAAGATTTACCATTTTAACCATTTTTAAATGTATAGTCTAATGGTATTAAGCAAATTCACACTTTTTGCAACCATCATCACTACTCATCTGTACAATGTTTTCATCATCCCAAACTGAAGCTCTGCACCTATAACACAGTAACTTCCATTCCTCCCTTCTCCTGACTCCTGATAACCCTAATTCCACTTTCTGTCTCTGTGAATTTGACTATTCCAGTTATCTTTTATCTAAGTGAAATTATACATTATTTGTCCTTTTGCTTCTGACTTATTTCACTTAGCATAATGTCTTCAAGCTTTGTCCATGCAGCATTCAACAGTATTTCATTCCTTTTTAAAGCTCAATAATATACATTGTATGTATATATAACACATTTTATTTGTCCATCATCCATTCATTAATAGGCATTGCTTCTACATTTTAGCTATTGTGAATACAGGTGTTATGAACATGGGTATCTATTTATTCAAGCCTCTGCTTTCTTTTTTGTATATACCTAGAGTGTAAGTGTAATTGCTGATCACATGGTAATCTGTATTTAATTTTCAGGAACTATCCTATTTTCTACAGGGGCTGCACCACTTTCCATTTCCACCAGTAATGCACAGGGGTTTGAATTTCTCCACATCCTCACCATGACTTGCTGCCTTCTGTTTTGTTTGTTTGTTTGGGTTCAGATGTTTTCTTTCTGGTTTTTCCTTTTTCATTGTTTTAAATTTCAGAATATTATGAGGGTTCACACATTTTAGTTACATAAATTGCTTCTGTACAGATCAAGTCAAAGTTCTACGTGTGTACTTCACCCAGATAGTGTGCACTGTATCCGTTAGGTGGGAATTTACCCATCCACTCCTCCCCCCTCCCACCTGCTTTTTGTTAAGTATTACTTCCATATGTGCACATTGTGTTGGTTGAATAGTTCCAATTTAGCACTGAGTACATGTGATTTTTTTGTTGGTTTGTTTATATTCTTGTAATATTTTACTTAGAAAAATGGTCTCTGGTTCTGTCCAGGTTATTACAAAAGATACTAGATTACCATTTTGGGGGGGGAGGCTGAGTAGTACTCCATACATTTTATCAATCCATTCATGTAGTGGTGGGCACTTGGGTTGTTTCTACTTTTTTGCAATTGTGAACTGTGCTGCTCTAAACATTCAAGTGAAGTGTCTTTTTTATAAAATGTCTTCTTTTCCTTTGAGTAAATGCCTAATAGTGGGATTGCTTGGTCAAATGGTAGGACTACTTACAGTTCTTTGAGGTATCCCCATAGTGTTTTCCATACAGGTTGTACTAGTTTGCAGTCCCACCAACAGTGTATAAGAGTTCCTTTCTCTCCTGATCCATACCAGCATCTACTGTTTTGGGACTTTTTCATAAAAGGCATTCATGGTGTACTTTGGCAGTATCTCATTGTGGTTTTGATTTGCATTTCCTCAATGTGAGAGATGAGTTTTTTTTCATGTGTTTGTTGGCCATTAGTCTATCTTCATTTGAAAAGTTTCTGTTCATGTGTTTTGCCCCATTTTTTATAAGTAATGGGGTTTGATTTTTTCTTGCTGATTTGCTTGAGTTCTTTGCAGATTCTGATTATCAACCAGATGTATACCATCCAAATATTTTCTCCTATTCTGCAGGTTGTCTATTTGCTCTTTTGAGTGTGTCCTTGGCTGTGCAAAAGCTTTCTAATTTGATCAGGTACCATTTATTTTTGTTGTCACTATAATTGCTTTTGGGGTCTTCTTAATAAATTCTTTGTGTAGGCTGATAACTATAAGAGTTTTTCCGACATTTTCTTCTAGAATTCTTATAGTTCTGTGCCTTAGGTTTAAGTCTGTTATCCATCATAAATTAATTTTTGTTGAGTGGTGAAAGGTGCAGATCCTGTTTCAGTCTTCTATGTGTGGCTATCCAATTTTCCCAGCACCATTAATTGAACAGGGATTCTTTCCTGCAGGATATGTTTTTGTCTGCTTTGTCAAAGATAGATGGCAATATGAGGATGGTTTCATATCTGGGTTCTTGTTTTGATCTTTAGGTCTACGTCTCTGCTTCTGTGCTAGTGCAATGCTGTTTTGGTTACTATAGGCTTTGTTGTTTTTAATTTTACAATAGTCCTAATGTGTGAAGTGGTATCTCATAGTTTTGATTTATATTTCCCTAATGATTAGTGATGTTGAGCATATTTCCATGTACTTTTGGCATTTATACAGGGTGGCCATAAAGTACACCAATTAAAAAAGCAATTTAAAATTGCACACAAACTTTATGGCCACCCTGTATGTACTATATATCTTCTTTAGAGAAATGCCTCTTCAGGTCCTTTGCCCAATTTTGAAGTGGAGTTTTTTTGTTGTTGTTGAATTTTAGGAGTTCTTTAAATATCCCAGATAACAATACATTATTAGCTATGTGATTTGCAAATATTTTCTCTGATTCTGTGAGTTGGCTTCTTATTCTGTTGATTGCATCCTTGATATACAAGCTGGGCATTTTCTAAAATGTAGCTTGTAGAGTTCCATTTTTGTCCTATAGAATTAGAATGCCTGGAGGGTAGAGTCTGAGCATGGGGTAATTACTATGCCCCACTCTTTACTTGTCACTCCTAAATTTTTTAGGAGCATTTAAAAACAATTTTTGGCATAAATTTTGAGAACTGACCAATATATCCTGATCCTTTCCTGAGAGGAGAAAAGTTCTAACATAATTTTATCCTTTTTCCATCTCCATTTTGATGTTTAGAGAAATTACATGAAGTTTTAGATACAGATTGTTAACTAATTTTTTCATACTATCCCTTTGTGTTTGGAAGAATTCTTTATAACTGCATTAAGTCACTTAGCCACACTATCAACAATGTTTTAGACCTGACTATAAATATGAGAACCTTCTTTGACTATCACTGATAAGAATATTTTGTCTTCTTAATATTTCATTTGTTGAATTATATCCTTGAGCAATGTTTTTAAACCATGGGCAATAAATTTTCTGAACTTCTGGACAGCAACAGTTGCTTTTGTTTTACGCATACATATTAATATTTTAGTCACTGATTACAACTACAAGTCAAAATAATTTTCTTTTGGGCAGTCCCTGTAGCCCAAAGGAGTAGGGTGCCAGCTCCATATGCTGGAGGTGGTGGGTTCAAGCCCTGCCCCAGCCGAAAACTGCAAAATAATAATAATAATAATAATTTTCTTTCACATAAAGTCGTATGTATTTTTTCACTCTGACAACTCTATTGTCAGCTAGAATCTTACACTGCAGATGAAAATCTGTTCTTCAAAGTCTGATCTGCCAAAATGAGTATAATTCACATTTCTCTATTACAACTTATTTTTTCCTTTTTGTTCAGTTTTCAGAAATCATTCCCTTCCTTCCTGTTTCTTACTCTGGAATCATTTAGCCCTTCCCTTTATCATTGAAATTTAGAAATATCACCAAAATATATGTTCTCCCTATTTCTCATTATTGCTACTTAGTACTCAGTGCCTCTTCAAAATTAATAAAAATTTTCTTCAATTTGTCTTCAATTGTCTCTTCATCCTCTAGTCTCTCTGTTCTTTTTGTTTTGAACAGACAGATAATGATTCCTGGTATTTTTCCTTAATTTCTTTTTACAAATGTGTCCTATCTATTACTTGACTTTATATTTTATAATATTCATTCCTTTTATCTTCCATATCAATTTCTACCCTTAGTTCTCTCCATTTTATTATTCAGACCTTCTCCTTAGTTATTTTGGCAATAGTTTTAATTGCTAATAACTACTTTTGTTTTCTCTGCACCTTTTTTCTTGGTGTTCTATTTGTATTTCATTACTTCCGGTGTCTGTTTTCCACTATGGCCCTTTTCTTTCATGCTACTATTTTATTAAAATGTCCCATAATTCTTAATTTGCCATTCATAATTAAAATGAGGAACTGGGGAACTACATTGAAAAGTTGATTTGGGTTTCCATGCAGGTGACAGGTCTATTTAATCATCTCGCCTTTTTGTGTCCTGTAAAGATCTGGGACTACTTCAGGTTTGGCTCTGCTGTATAATCTGCTTCCAACACCCATTCTAGGAACCTTTCTATAGTCAGATCCCTCATTTATTTATAAAATTAGTGAAATTATTCTCTCAGCTTTAATCAAGGAGCACCTGTAATAGCCAACCCCTCTGTAAAATTGGAGCGTGGGAGAGGAATGTGTCTTACAGTAAGCACATTAATTTCCCCAAAGGATATACTCTGTCTACTCCCACATCCTGTAGTTGCTAACTATATGCTTGAAATTTCTCTATTCTTTCTTGAAGTCTCTGGATTGTGGTTTTTTTCTCTGCTGGCATCTTTATTACACAGTTTCTATTTTGCTATCTTCCAGCATTTTCTCAAAACTTCAGATCTATTAGGAGAGAACTGACCTATTTTCATGCAGTATTATGGATTTATTCTGTCTTTGGAAGCCATTTCTGTCATAGTAATGGGATTTTGAGATGGAGGGAAAATAAATGGCTGTTATTGGCTGGATCTTTGGATTTAAAAACTCACAGTTATTTTAAACAGAAGTTTTCACAAGGTTCCCCCTCTTTTCTAATCATAGTTATAACAAGATAAAAAGTTCAGGAGTATTTTTAGATTAACAGTATATACAAATTACTTTAAATTTTTTGAGTATTATACCTGTCAATGGCTTGAAGATCATTGGCTGGATTCCAAGTAGGATCAAATAATACAACAACATTGGCACCAACAAAATTGAGGCCAAGTCCACCAGCCCTGGAGGAAATAGACACAAAGTACAGGGTAATTCAATTGTGCCAGATTTCTATAGCCAAAATAATACAATATTGCATTATCTTCAGAAAGAAAATAAGGTGATTAAAACACAGCTAGTTCACAAATGAAATATCTATGGTATATATTCTTTTTCTACCACTGTAGTAAAGTGGTAGAAAAAATCAGCTATCAAAAGTGATTAAAAAGTCAGCCATTAGAGTGCTTGTGAATAAGTTATGCTTATATATGCAAATATTACTTCTGTAAGAATTTCCTACCATAATTTTAAAAAACTATTATTGCATTCTAGCTAAATAAAGTAGTAAAAACGTTTAAAAATTAACTCAAGGAATAGATGCACATCTCCTTATTCCTCTAAAGTACAGCTAAAAATCCTGGACATTACTTCTAAAATAAACATAAGACTCTGAAAGATGCAGAGAAGACAAATATGTTATAGACTACAAGACTTAAGGAATGACCTGGATTTCTTTTTTGCTTAATATATCCCAGGGCAGGTTTTAGAGAAGCCAGTGAACTAGAAATACCAACAGTCACAGATGAAAAATGCCCTAAGAAAAAGCCTTTTTCCTTTAGCCAAAGAACTAGGAAAGATGTAGCCTTGCAAGACAGAAAGATCACCTACTCCTACCAAATACCAAGAGACGGTCTGTGGCCCTACCCCTGGTCAGCAAAGGCTGAATAAAGATGCTAGACTTCCACCCTCACCTAGCTTCAATGAGGCATTACTCATCCCTTCCAAGGTGGTGTCAGAGAAGACTAAGAGAGAAGCTGGGACTTTAGGGTTTCCCTCTATGATATCAGGGGAGGCTATCTGCGAGCAGGAATAAAGCACCTCCCTCTCAGGGTATCATCAGAGATCAACAAGGAATCTGAATTTTTACCCCTACTTAGATAGCATGATGTCATAGGAGGTATACTAAAACAGAAGATTTAGATAAGATGGAACCTTACAAAATAATACCTGTACCTAGAACCAGGAAAATCTCAACTTGAATGAGAAAGACAATCAATAGATGATAACACAGAGATGAATCAGATGTAGAAATAATATGATAAATATTTTAATGTGGTGGAAATATCCTTTAGGAGGGAAAGGGAAATTACAGCAGTTTCACATTAAGAAAAACTAAGATAATTTGTTACCAGCAGATTTAACCTAAAAGAATGGCTAAATGAAGCTCATTAAACATAAAGGAAAGGATAACAGAGGAAGGCCTGGAACTTTAAAAAGGTAAAAACATCAGAACTGGTCAAAATAGGAATGAATATAAAAACCACTCCATTTCTCACGAGTTTCATAAATCATATTTCATGGTTAAAGAGAAACTGTAACACCACCTGATACACTGTTCAGTGTATATACAGGAAATGCCTAAGACAATTATATTTTAAAAGTCAGGTAGGAAAACAGACTCAAACACACGTAAGCTAAACTTAAATAAGGTTTCTACACTACATTTGAATTGGCAAAACTATATATAGGTAGACTATGAAAAGTTACTATGTACTTATAATACCTAGAGCAATCCTGAAGAAAGCTATACAAAAGCAGTATACTAAAAAGCACTATAAAAAATAGATACAGAATCCTAAGAAATATTTAAGCAATAGGAACAGTGGAACCAGAAGGGAAATAAACAGAGAAAAGTTAAATACAGTAGACCTCTGTAAGTTGACCACCTAAGGGGCTGTAAGGATCTGGTCAACATATGGAGCTCAACATAAGGAATTTCCACTGAGGGCATGTAGTACATGTCCAGTCTATGAAAATTAGGTCAACTTAAAACGATGGTCAATGTAGGGAGGTGGTCAAGTATGGAAGTTCTACTGTATATCAATAATTACCTTAAAGGGAGTAGCCCAAATATACCTTTTTAAATCAGTGATTGGCAGAGTAGATTTAAAAAAAATGATCTGACAATATGCTATCTACAAAAATCTCTTTAAATATGATAACATATGTAGGTTGAAAGTAAAAGAATGATAAAAGATATGACATACAAATATTAAGAAAAAAGCAGATTTTGCGGTACATGTATTAACCTAAGACACAGTTTACATCAGAGCAAAGACAATTACCAGAGAAAAGAGAGACAACACATGATAACAAAAAGATCAATTTACCAAGTGAACATACCAAAATAACAGAACTGAACTACATATGAAGTCAGACTAATAAAGCTGCAAAGAGATAAATGCATAATTATAGTTGAGGATTTCAATATCCCATATTTAGTGATGGATAAAACTACTAGAGAGAAAATCAGCAAGGATATAAAAGAAGAAAACAACCAACCAATAGGATCTAATCAGCATATATGAAACGCTCCACCCAAGAACAGTAGAATACACCCTTTTTCCCTCAGTGCCCATAGAACATTTACCAAGATAGACCAAATTCTGGGCCATAATATAAACCTCAACAAATTTAAGAGAACTGAACTTATACTGAGTACGTTCTCTAACTGCAATGGAATCATTTCTATATATTATAAAAATATATAACAGAAGGACAAAAGAAAAAACTTCCCAACATTGGGAAATTAAACAACATGCACCTAAACAGCCCATGGGTCAAAGAAAAAGTCTGAAAAGGAATTTCGAGACACAAAGAATAATAAATAATAATATTATTTAATAACTCAATAAAAATTAAAATAGAACACACCAAAATATATGAGATGTAGCTAAAGCAGTGCTTTGAAGAAAGTTTATACCACTAAATGCTAACACTGGAATAGAATAAAGGTCTCACAATAATCAGAAGGCTTACCTCCCAAGAAACCAGAAAAAGAAGAGAAAAACGCAAAGCAAGCAGAAAGAAGAAAACAAATATTAGAGCAGAAAACAATAAAATTGAACACAGGAGAAAAAAAATCAATGAAACAAAAAGCTGGTGCTTAATTCCAGTAAGATTGACAGAAATGAAAAGACAAATTACCAATTTGGGGAAACAGGTGCTATCACTACAGATCCTGCCTGTACACTACAGCTGTTAAAAGCATCAGGGAAAAACTTTATGCTCATATAATCAGTAAGTTAGAAGAAAAACCACAAATGGCTAAATTAAACTAAATAGACAACTTGAATAATCCTATAATCATTAAAGAAAAGGAATATGTTTTTAAAAACACCTTAGGAAAAAAATCTCTAAGCCAAGATAGTTCCTCTGGGGAATTTTACCAATACAGAAGAATTGATACCAGTTTTATACAGCATGCACATACGAAATGCAATTAAAACCATGGTGAGATGTTTCTACATACCCATCAAAGTGGCTAAAATGAAAACCAGTGACAACAGCAAATATTAGTGAAGATGCAGAAGAACTTGATCACTCATACATCGCTGTAAGGAATGTTAAAAATAATATAGCCACTCTGTAAAATAGAACAGTTTCTTATAAAACTTAGTACATAACTACCATACAATCTAGCAGTGCACTAATTAGTATTTATCCCAGAGGAATAAAAACAAACAAAAACTGATACAAAACATTTATCAGCTTCATGTGTAATCATTGAAAACTGGAAAAAGCCCAGGTGTCCATCAGCAGGTAAATGTTTAAACAATGTGGTATACCTGTACCATATACTACTCAGCAATAAAAAGGAAAAAAATCATTGATACGTGCAACAATTTGGGTAAATTTCCAAGTAACTATGCTAAGTGAGAAAAGAAAATTCAAACATGTACATATTGTATAATTCCATTTACATAACATTCTTAAAATGGTAAAATTATAGAAATAGAGACCAGATTAGTGGTTTCCACGGGTCAGGGACAAAGGGGAGAGAGGAAGTGGGTGAAGCTATGAACATGAAGGATTCTTGTGGTAACAGAATTGTATGCACCTCCACTGTGTCAATGTCAGCATCACCATTACGACACTGCACTATAGGTTTATAGTTGTTACACTGGGGGAAACTGAGTGAAGGATATATGGGATCATTCTGTATTATTTCTTAAAACTACTTGTGAATCGACAGATATCTCAAACTAAAACATTCAATTAAAAAGTATGCCTAACAATAACATCCGTACAGACTTAACATCATATAGACTCTCCTTTAGGTGTTAAGAATCATTCCCACAATCACATGCTGATGACAATGGAGGCAGCCAGGACCCATCACAGTGAACACAAAGAGAGGGCAGGGTTATATAGCACTGAGATGCCACGGGTTCTCTGTCTCGACTGAGAAGACGACGAGATGAAATAACACCAATGCTTACTTTATAATGAGCTACATTTGACACTTTGCTGGGCCCAGAGTTCTTCTGTCCACATATTTCTTCTTTTGGCTGATGATACCACTATGTACTCACTCATCAAAGACAAAACCATCCTAGGTACCACAGACTTTTTGTTCTCTGTCACCAATCCCCTTCCCACTGAAAGTTAACCAATATCAAGTCCTATCAGGTTCACTTCAAAAATGTTTTTCTCATCAAACTGGTCAACATAGCCTTCATGGCATTTTCTTAGTTATTGTGTTAAGACATTTATATTTATTGTGTGTAAAAATAGCACATTGTACCCCATGATTGCATTAATGTACATAGCTACGATTTCATTAAAAAAATGTTTTTCTCACAAGTGTCTTCTCCAACCCTTCAAGTTGTTATTACAGTGTATTTGCATATATTACTTCATCAGCCTCATAACTGTCCTCCTTTACCTCAGACCTAAAGTCCAGTGTCACTTTACATAAAAATTGTTATAAGCATGGAATATAAAATATTAAGTATACCATTCCTCTGATTAAAACCATACAACTGTCATGTGCTAGAGACCAACTCCTCAGGCCTCAATGACCAGGCCTAGCTTCTCTCCAGCTGGGGATATCATACCAGAACTTTACCCACGAACTACCAAAATACTTTAAGTTGCCTTCATACAATTTTCTTTGCTCTCTTCTTCGCCTAACTTCACTTGTCCCTCAAGCATCACTGATAAAGCCTGAATTAAATAT